ACCCGAGTCACCTTTATAAAGGCACTGGAAAGAGGCCAGGATCTCTCCGGTGCTTTTCGGGCCGCTAAATGGATCTTGCTCAATGTGGGTGTGTCTTTTCTTGGGGCTGTGTTGGGCTTTTTTTGTTCGGGGGGGATAGGCGATTTGTTTCAGGAGAGCGAGAGTCTGCTTTCTATCAGGGAGCCGAATCTGGCAAACTGGCAAGCAAGGGTGTCAGATCTGGGCCTCCAACATCAGAAAGGCGAAAAAGACCGTGTGCCTTAAACAAAATCGGGGCGCGCATCCCTTTGGATCGTGGCCTGTGCCTTTGGTTTCCCTTTGGAAAACCACCCCAGATCCGAAAAAAGAGACCCAAGGAAGCAGCGGTCATGGTTCAACCTGGAAAAACGCCGCCGTTCCAGAAGAGTGTCCCCAAAAAACGAGAGTGGTAGAGGTGAGTTTCAACTGGTTTTAAACTTATTGGGAAGACCATTTTAGAGGCAAATCCAAAGTTTGGCTTTGTTTAGGCCATCCACTCAGCCAGTAGGAGCAACCTTTGAAAACCGCGCAACGCGAAACGCGCGCGCCTCGCTGCGCAGACCTGAAGCAAATTTATTTGGGGAGAAAGCACACACACTTTCCCTTTGGTGGGTTGCTCGCTGTTGACGGGAGCCCCCCAAAAAAGGGACGAGATTGGAACCCTGGAATGGGCCCATCCCAATTTTATCCATGCCCTGAACTGAGTTAAACCCCAACCCAAGCATTGAAGACTGTCTCAGACAGTTCTGGGGTACTTGAAAACAACATGTTCTCATCGTAAGAGGTTTAGATGCCCAGTGACCATGGGAAAAAAAGGGGCATGCTTTTTTGGTTGCTTGAGTTTAAAGGGGAACCCTTCCCAAGAAAAGTTGGAAAAAGAAAGGGACTGGGAGGATCTGTGCATTTCTCGAGCCCATCAAATCCGAGCTCCATCCTTCCAATGCGAGGGTCGGGACATCAACTCTACAACTGGTTTGTCCCACATTTCGGTGTGTTTTTGAGGGGGTAATCTTCTTGGTTGCCGTTGACCCCTCTGCAAGAAGGTTTTCCTTTGTGTGGGTCCAATGGAAACTCCGCTGTTTCCCAAAAAGTTAAAGTCCAAAGATCCAACCAAGTAGCCATAAAGCTTTTGGGTGGTTCCAAGGGAGATCAACAGGAAAGCAACCGGATCAAACACACTTCCATGACCCCGTTGCAAGACGGACACAAAACCTCACTTAGCCACGCTTTCGCAATGGGTGGGTTTGTGGCTAAGCCGCAAAATGGGTGGCTTCCCTTTCCAAATCAACCCCAAGAAGGGTGTGTATACCGTCCTGTTTTGAGTAATAAACTTCTTCAAGAAGACGACACATGGGGCCCTTTTGCTTTTCCGAAAGGAGTCGGGGGGCCCTGTCGCAACCTCGCTTGATCATCTAAATTCCATGAAGCCTCTTGTAAACCACAACGTGCTTGGGATTACCGTGGCCTCATTATTTTATCATGATCAAAGTCACCCCCAAGGGAACCAACCCCATTTTCTCACTTTGAAACCCCCTAGGAACGGTCAAAATAGTGACCCCAGTTACCAGTCAATCAGAAGGGCACAGCGAACAAAGACGGGTGGAATATGGCTGGATGGGTCAAATTGGAGCCCAAACAAAACCAACCGCCGGGTTCAAACGAGATTGAACATTGTGTTTCTGGGTGTGACTCAAAATGCGGTGGCCCTTCTTCTTGATGTTTTGGGGAAAACACCGGACGCCAAGAAGAGTACTAAACGAGAACCTACAGCGGGAAGAACAGGTGAAATCCACAAAAAGCGCATCCAAGCCGTTTTCTAGACCATAGGCCAAGTTTGGCGTCAACTACGGCACGAGAAAAGCCACGCGCCCGACTCTTGGCCCCACCTCGGCTCGAAAGTCGAAGCGGCGCCGCGCGCCTCGGGGCCGGGCGTCGCTGAGATTTTGCGCGTCATGAAATTCATGAAGGGCAATCAAGTGGGTCAAACAAGAACAATGGTTGAAAGAATGGGGAATCAAACCCTAGAAGCATGGCAGCGTGCACAACCTTTCCAAGACAAGCACAGCTGCGCCCCGGATTCCGCACTCATGTGCGCACAACAGCCTTGAACATCTTCGTCTGAAACCCGCAGAGGGGGGAGTTTAGCCCATGGCACACCTGACTCCGAAGGGTCACCAAGAAAGCAAGATATCGGAGGCGAATCAGTGACCCAGCAAGCGCGAATTCGTGTCACCCGGTATTTGTTTGGGCAAGGGCTTCGACCTGCCTGTGTAAATAACTGCCAGAAGCACAGACAAAATGTCACAGCTCACTTGTTACATTGTTGTTCATTGTTGAGCCCATAGATAAGCCCCTGCTTACTAATATGAGAGTGTTCCCCTCCAAAATTGATGAATCCAAACCAAAACCAGGACACCCCCATTTCAACAAGCAGAAGTTTATTCATATGGGGTCAACTAGCTTACTATACACCCCATTTGAGCAGCGGGTAGCGCTCCCTCTCTCTCTCTCTTAAATGAACAAGGAGTTTTTGGGCACCGCTGATTTGTCGAGACTTTTTGTGTGAGGGTCTTCCAGGAATGGCTCACAGAAGCTTCCAAGGCCTAGCCTCACAACTTGCAAAGTGTCGAAACATGTGGGTGTCTCTTTTTGTAGGGGGCCCCCAAAATGGTGGCTTTCCTTGTAGTTTCCTCTTCAAACAAAAAGAGGGGTAGACTCAAAAAGACGAGCCACTCGTGTAGAACCCACAGCTGTTGAAGCCAAGAACACAGTTGTGTGGAAACCAAGCCCGTTTTGAGAAGGGACCGATGGACCAAAACGACAGAACGGCTTCCTTGATGTGGCTGTGTGTCAAGATTAGCTACCCAAAATGGAACCCTGGCAAATAGAACCAAGGAGTAAAACCTGCAGTCCCCTGGCGGTTTAATTTTGACCCATACCCATGGTAACAAAAAAAGAAGAAGAAAACAAAGAGGGGGAAAAAAAAGAAAGAAGAAAAAAAGCGGTCGGCCGGAACCCACACACCTCGCCAAACGAGTCTCGCTGGAGCTCTCCACTTGCGTCTGAGCTCTCCGCGCAGCACGCCGCATCTTGTCAAGTGGCTCCCATGGCGCATGAACGAAGATCCTAATTGATTGTGCTTGCCCGGCTTGCTCAACCTTTCTGATATATCTTTCCTCACCCATTCTTTTGGTCTCCGGCGTCAGGCTGCAGACAGCTCCCCCCTTTTGCCATGCCATTCGCTCGCGCGAAAAAGATTTGAGCAAGCTTTCGGATGTGCGTCTTACCCGGCGAACTGAGATCGTCTCCGACCCCCCGGAAGCGAAGCTGCCAGAAATCGAAGCGAATGCCGACCGTTCTGCCGAAAAGAAAACAAGAACTAACAAGTCAGACAAAAGAAAAAAGATAAGCCTGACCCATTGAAACTTCGCGTCCGCGGCGGCAGAATGCAGCCCTTTTGCTGGTTTGAGCCAAGAGGCCAGAGGGGTTGACACTCGGCCCATTGAAACTTCTGATACACGTGCTCGTGCTCAAGCCGAATTGCCCAGAGGGTTTTCGAATCAATCTCAGGTCTGGTGGGATACTCCCGTTCTTTTGGGTACCCATGCCGCAATGCCTGCTAGTTGCAAACGACCAAACTACCAACTTCAAAGCTCACCAGGGCTCCGCCTACACCTCCCGTCAAGCATGGACGTGTGCACAAACCCAGTCTTGCAAGCCGGGTGCTGGCACTTCCGTTCTCCATTTGGCCATGGGTCGTACCTCCACTGAACATCCCCACTAAAATAGACTAACATGGGTGGTGCACCTACCAACCAAAAATGGGCTCTGACCCACAGCCTTGGTAGGGTTACCAAGCTGCAGATGGACCAAACGCTTCTCTGTGAGAAGCCTTCGCCCGCGTGTTTTTTTTCTTCCTTGTCCGAAGAGCAGAGGTAACTCCCCTCAGGGGAACTGCCAGCCCGCGGGTTGACACTGGGTCAAAGGACCCAAAACGCTGCCCTAAGTTCCACTGGACCTTTGGGTCCATGGCTTGACCCTAGGCTTCATCTCAGGCTAAGAACTCCCAAGTCCAGGAGCGCCCGGCCTTTGCCCAGGCGTGGAGTGTTTGACCAGGAACTTTCTTTTGCGCCACTTGCGCAGGTTCCATGCTAGAACGGCTTACACCAGTTGACATGAAGCAATGGCTCCCGGGAACCCGCGTCCAGGTTCCATGCGAGGGACACACAAGAGAAATCACCGCGAAACAGCTCACAACTTTTCTATGTGGGTCATGGTCGTGTTCCCCCCTCTTTAGGAACAACGCTGTCCAAATGCCATTACGATCCTTAAGGGCTCCATGAGCATCCCAACTTATTCCAAGCAACCAGGACGAAAATAGACTGACGGCTTGCTCAGCTCTCTACACATGCACCCGGCGTATGTTCACCGAAGACGCGGCCGAACGTAGCAGAGCATGTATGTCGTTCGAACGCGAGGCAACCGGTCGCGGAGTACATCCGCAGGCTCGTATTCGCTCTTGCGGCCGCGCGGCCTCAAGAAAAAAGGCGCACCGAGGACTGTGACGGGTGCCGCACGCAAAGTGAGCGAACTCGCGGCCATGCACAAACCAAGCTTTCAGCTGGCTCCCGCATTTGATGTTGGAATACGTAACCTGTTGCACCTGGCCTACAATTGACATTGGATTTGTGTACTTTCGAGGGTTGATTCAACTGAAGTCATCGGCAACAACGGACATTTCACCGCTCTTGGTGTGTACCACAAGGCGTGCGCACCCTCGCAGCTCGACAATGTCAGACTCTGGCGATTGGGTTCACCATTCGCGAGCAAGAAAGCAACATAATTGCCTGTCTGCTTCTCTTGTTGGCTTTTGCCAAGTCGAAGCCGCGTTCTTTGGCGGAACGCGCCTCAATTAGAAACCCGGAAATCGGAAGCACACCGCGAAAACCAAGTACCATTACAATCTACAACCCAGCTTTTCAAACACCTTCCGCAGAGCTTCCGGCTTCCGGAGTCGGGTTGCTCGCGTCTTTCCTCATTCCAGCAGCACCGGATCGGCATTCGCGAGAGGCGTGGCATGTGTCAAGCGGTAGGGCGTGAAGGCTTCCTCCGGGATGCAGCTGATGCGGCAGATCTGGGCCAAGTCCTTCCCCGCGGCGTTGGTCGCTGAGATGTCGGCCCCTGAGGCCTTGAGCGTCTGCACCACCTAGCCAGTGAAACCCGGAAGTGTTTTTCCCTGGCCAGTGAAACCGCAACTAAGCCATCAAACTGTCAGAAGCCATACCAGGGGTTCATCTTTGCATGTGTTCATTTCAAGACAGCAGGCCTGAGTTTGTTGGTGGTCAAACATGCGCGGCCACCCCTTCTACTTTAAAAAGAAGCACAAGGCGGCACGAAGGACCAAAAAGGAGGAGTCAAATAGTTTGACAACCCGCGCAGGAAAGCGGCAATTGTGAGTGGCGTCTGGCTGCGTTGCACTCAGCCCTGGTTTCAATCTCGACCTGGGCACAGTGCTTCGGGACTTTTGCTATGATGTCGGGGTTGATGTGTTGATTGGATTTGCTTTATTCTTTGTGCACCAGTGCATGTGTATCAAGCTGGCATTTTGTGCGCGAGGCGAGGGTGCGTTCGTCCGTGCATGCGTGCCACGCGTTCTCGCGCGCAAGTCCACGCGGCGCACGCACGCGCACACGCACGCACGCGCACGCGCACGGTTGCGCATGCGACAGAAAGAGTGAGAGAGAGAGAGAGAGAGGAGAGAGAGACAGAGAGAGAGAGAGAGAGAGCGTTCCAATCGTGTTTGCACAGGGCGCTGTAAAGCTGGAAGTCCTACAAAGCAAGCTCAAACTGGGAGGATTTTGCGGATTGCCAGTGTCGTTCTTGATGGCCTCCCGTTTTCTTACAGCACTGTAGTGCCACCTTTCCAAACCCCCCGTTTTTCCAAATCCGGGAGTCGGCCACAGCCAGGGCCCAGGATGGCGAACCTCCCAAAAGCAAAAGTGCACGATCCGAACCTAGTGTGTGCCCACTGGGCTTGATCCTGACCCTCGCAGAAAAAATAAGACAGCACAAAGCACGAGAGAGGAGGTGTGTGTGTGTGTGCGCGCATGTTCGCATGACATTTTACCCAGTGCTGCTGTTCAGTCTGAATTTGCGTATATAGTGTTGTAGCCTGTTCGCCATGCTGCCTTTCGCGTTTGCTCATATACGCGTCTGTACGTGTTTCATTCTGTGCTCTTCACACTTAACTAAAAAACTACGGAACGGGATGGCTTCGAACCGAGAACACCCTCAGACCCCAAAAAAAAGCATCGCCTTCGCATTGCCCAAGGCGGCCGCCGCCAAGATGGGCGTAGACCCGTCCGCGAGCCAAAAGAGTTGCCGAAGGGTGCGGTTTCGCAGCATGCCTGGCGCGGGGGGACAACATGGGGTGACAAACATGAGGGTGACAAACATGAGGGTGTCAAAAATGAGGGTGTCAAAAATGAGGGTGTGAAAACTGAGGGTTACAAAAATGAGGGTGGTGAGGGTGTCAAAAATGAGGGTGACAAAAATGAGGATGTCAAAACTTAGTTAAGGTCGTGGCAGTGAATCTCATCCCCTCTTGGCTTAGATCAAATTCTTCGTCATTTGGCACTTAATTCAAACTAACCCACCTGAAACAAGCAACGAAGTACCCATTTGTCGGAATGCATCATGAGGTTTCACACCGGTTGCGCGAAGGCATCGCCCGACTCTTTGCCTTGGGGTGCCTTCACAGAGCGCCGGCTTTCCGCCAGGTGAGCTTAAGGTCCAAACACTACCCGCACAACAGCCAGAACCCTTCGACGTGAAACGGAAGGGGTCCGGGTTTAGACCGTTTTCCGTCAAGGACCGGGTCCCGTACCACAAACGGTTCCGGCTGTTAAGTGGAGGGTTGTTTACGTAGCGTACTATCTCATCAGCAATGATTGAGTTTGTCACCAACATGAAATGCCGGAGGTTCACTTCGCTGAGTCTTGAATCTGCACGGGTAGACTTTGCGTTGCTTTGTTTCTGTGGTGCATATGCATACGGTCCCACCCGCAACATGTTCAAACGTTAAAGCCTTTGATCAATCCCATCTTGCTTCCCTGCATTGTTTTGCGAGAACAATCTCCCCTCTTCCTGCTGCTGCTTCGACCGTCACCAGTCATGTCATGTGCTTTCAGGGCAAGGGCCATAGACTATGGACACACTGCACAGACAATGGAAGAAGGTTACAGTAGCATGATGTGTCCTCCCGCCGACGTGGTTCAAGCAAGCTCGTCAACATGCGCTTCACACATGGTATTGAATTACAGCAGAGAAAGACAAATAAGTCCAAATCCGCTGAATCAAAGAAGGCATCGATTCGAATTATCTAAGTCTCCACACAAGGACGTTCATCATGGGTGATTGCGTCTTACCCCCAAGTGAGTTTATTGCAATTTGCTCGGATTTATGCGATTCTTTTGCAGCAGTTGCCTGAAGGTCCAGTTTTAGATGTCTCCCTGACGCAGAGAAAAGAACACGAGAAACATTGTTGAGTGGAAATTCAAAATTCAGGTGCGCGGACACTTTCGCCAACCTCATGTTCCGTTCTTGCACAAGCAACACAGATTCTGGCTCTGCAGCCCGTTGATTCGCCGCTTTTTGTTCACGCACCTTCTCTTCTTTTTTTTTTGGGGGGGGGGGGGGTGGGGTCATCCACCTTTCAATATGTGCAACAATTCATTGGGGATATCAAAAGGTAGCATGGTCATCAAACTAAAATGTGCTTGTACTTCCGCGGGTGTAAATGTGTTCATACTCCCGCCTTGAGATGCCCAACTCGGCATTCTTCAAAGCAGTATCCGATTTTCCAAGCTTTCCTCTGTCCGCATGAGGCAAATTGCAGCAATTTACCTTCATCATTACAACTTGCCCCAATCGTGGAATGCAGCAAACACCAAGAATACACCCAACCAACTCACCATGTGTTACAAGTGTCTTCTTGCAGTGATGATCGCTCGAGGCTCCTGTGAAGTGAGCAATAGTCCCGGAAACAAGTTGTGAGGCAGGAAAGAAGCCCATTGATCGAAGATGGTCGATCTTGCACAGAGCTTGACGCCAATCGATCACGGTCGAATTGACGATGTGTGGTCTGGACTCAATTGGCTGTGGGTCAAAAATAGGTACCCAAAATGGAACCCTGGTAAATGGAACCAAGGACTAAAGCCTGCGGTCTGGTGGTGGTATAATTTTGACCCACACCCAATTCATGAAACGCTGAACCGGAAATCGTCCTGCCTAGGGTCACATAGAGCCCTGTCCGCGAGAAGTATCGCACGCGGCAGGACATGTTGATGTCCAGGCCTGGGCAAAAGCAACCAGTGGGGTAGGACTGGGGCCCCCCATGGTTTGCTAACCCCGGAAGCAGGTTCAAGGGAAGCAACCAAGCAGTTTCTGACAACAAATCATCAAACAGTCAATTTCCCTAGGTCAAAAATAGGTACCCAAAATGAAACCCTGGTAGATGGAACCAAGGACTAAAACCTGCGGTCCAATTCGTGGTGGTTTGCAAATCTTTCGTTTTGGGGTTGAGCATCTGTAGTGACAATTTGTTGTTCGGCTTCCTGCATATCTTTCAGCCTGAGTGGCACGCAGCAGCATTGTCTGGTTTGGGACCACCCCACTGTGTGCCGGGCCAAACGTCGGGCATGGACAAGAAAACACCTACCTTCCCTCCAACTACATGGAAGTGGACAGGGGGCTTTCCTCAGAAGGAAAGCAGTCTTCCAAAACCCCCAAGTCAGCTTCCGTGATTCTTGAGGGTACCATGAACAGATGAACAGCCTGTCAGCAAAGCAACCCAAACTTTCGATGCAATAGCCTCGGGCAAAGCAACTAAGTCTGTTGGTGTCGGTGATCAATGGTCGCCTTCAGTTTTGCAACACCGCGCTGCATGGTCAAAGCATGCAAGAACAGCGCTGACTCAAATGGTGCACTAGTTGTCAAGTGTCATCATTTGTTTTGGATTACCCTAGCGCTGTGCCCCAAAGCGATTCAGTCGCAAGAATTGCCTGCTCATATCAGTTGCTAATGCGTTTAAAGTCCGTATTGCTGTTTGTGTCAGGACGGAAAGGATGGTTTTGTGCTTGAAGGCTGACGTCTTAGTTTTCGGTGCAGGCACTGGTGCTGGTCTCTTGCTTCTGGTGCCCGATTTGGGATTTGTCGCTTCTGGATCCGGCTCGTTTCCTAGGGGTCGCCTCATTCGTGTGAGCTGAGTTCAAGAGCGCTTCAGTTTGCTGACTTTGCCTATTGGTGTTCGAGGCTGGTCCTCACTCCCCCCTTGTTCAACACATCGAGGTCCTCCAGTAGAGAGGTTAGACTAAGGGTACCCTTTTGTCTGTCGTCTATTTTAGTAGGGGAACCCTCCCCAAAAGAATTGTAAAAGGGCACTACTGGGGGACCTAGTCAGTCCCCTCTTTGGGTTCAACACATGCTTGGTCTTGCTGCCAAGTCTGCCTGTGTTCCGGTGCTGCCGATTGCTCCGACTGCAACCCTCTCTCATTTTTGTGAGGCCAGAATTGCTTCCTGGACATCAAGGACTCGGCCCGACGTTTCAGCACGCTCTAATGCCAGGAACCCCCACCCCCACCACAAAACAAAAAGACAAAAGGAAAAGGTTTGTCTCTTTGCGGCTTCCCTTCAGTTCCAAACTCCAAAAGGCTAATCAACATAGGGTACTCAACCCCCCCCTTCCGCAAAAACATCCAGCCCACTTTGTTTTCCCGGGTAATCAACCCCCCTCCTGCTTGCGGCTTCCCTTCAAACCCAAACCCAAATAAGGCCAACATGGGCCATCTTAACCACGTTTCAACCTGAAACAAGCAACACGCATCCACGTCCTTTCCAGCGCTCCTATCCGGACATCTTCTGCGCCGAACACTCTAAGACGGGTTCCGCTGCCCTCAAACCACCCACAAGTCAAGTTGTATACCCTTTACACAGTGAGTAAACAAAGAAAAGAACAGAGTGCCTCCAACATGACCCATGTTTTTCCTTGCGGAAACAAATCGGTTTGGGGGCAGTGCGCTTCTTAGAAACGCGGGGGGTCGGAGCGGTCGGATCGCCGCTCCCATCCATCGGGCCTTGCTGCAGCAGCAGCTCCAAGGAGTTGGCCGAGCTCGTGAGCCCCAAAAAGTGCAACGAGCTCAGCCCCCCCCAGGTGAAGTGCCTCGCGCCAAACACATCGAGGTCCAGAGCTTAGGAGAAGCAGGGATCCGGATGCAAAAAACACACCTGAAGATTGCAACTAGATGGTGTCCATTTATTTGGCTGGAAAAAGCAACATGTTTCAAATGGTGGCAAAATGGAGATCTTTTAAGGAGCCCTGAAATCAGGGTACCAACTGTTTGCGTGTTTGTCTATTTTAGTAGGGGAACCCTCCCCCAAAAAAAGGGGAGAGAAGGGCACTACTGGGCCCGGGAATTCGGATCGATGCAGAAAACATCGGGCTGGGAACTGGATAGTCGGTTGCCCTCTGCAAAAAGTGAGTGAATCACTTTTTGTCAGGACGCGCAAAACCCGGACTCGTTCAACCAAAAAAGTTAAAGTGCAAAGATCCGTAACCAAATAACCACACAAAGGTCACCAAGAGAACTTGCACCTGTACGGGATACAATGGGAGGACATTGAACCACCCTAAAGCCAAGAGATGAACATTGCGAAGGGTTGCCTACTATAAGGGTAACTGGGATCCCCTTCAGTGGCAATGCTTTCCTTTTGCCGCCCCCCATCTAAAATACCAAAGGAGGTCCACTATTTCAAAAAAAACACACGAATTGCTTTTGGTTCTGATCAAACACCGCAACACTTTTCAGCCGAATCAAGTTCAAGGGGACGGGGACAGGCAAAAATTTGGTGCCCTTTGCTTACCCGTCTGCCTAAAGCCAAACCCACGGCTGCCGAGCCTTAGGAAGCCGATTTTTAGGTTGTACTGCCTCTGGGAGGTTACACCAGACCTGTCCTATATACCTATACTGGGGTGGTTTAGGTACTGTCTGGGTATCATGTGTAAATGGGACGCCAAAAACAAACCGCCTTTGGTGGCTACCTGTGAAGACGAGTCCCTGAGCCAGGCCAGCAGGCCCGCAGGTCTCATTTCTCTCGAGGGATGAACGAGAGAGACCTCCACAAAGGAATATATGTATATATATATATATATATTAAGGACCCTTGCGTAGGAGTCTACAAGTGCTATATCACTGGGCTGTCCTCAGATCCCGCTAAAAGTGAATAACCTTGGAAACTCCCACTAAACCCGAACCACTGCTTTTGAATGGGAGCGGCAGCATCCTCCGTAAACAAAAACGGAGGAAAGTGATGTTGGCAGTAGGACGCCTTGTGCTCATACGGGCGTGTCAGTCTTGTTCCAGCATACCCAGGTCGGGGTTTCCCCCCAGTTTAACTCAATCCCATATTGGGATGTGGCTCTGATCTCAACCAACTGACACACCTGTATGCAACAAGAAACAGGTCTTCATGCACTCTATACAGCAACTGTCCCTCTTGAACTCGAATAGCCGGTTGCGAGATAAATCGCCAAGATCCACCTTTCCAGCCGTTTCTAGTCTCGACTCCGGAGAAAAATCATCCTGGTGGATTCTCAAGCGAGTGGGGGACTCCCCCCCCCACCAAAGGCGATACGCATTCTCCATAAAATCACGGGTGCACCGCGGGTGGTGTCACTGCGGGTGGTCTCCAAAGTGGGGCACTTCATGAACTGAATTCTCATTTCGAGCTTCCAAATAGGGGGAGCAGCAAGCTCAACAGAAAACACCCGCCCCCCTTTTGGTTTCCTTCTTGGAAAATCCACTAAATATGGTTGCTGTTGGTCGCATGCAGAGTTGGCAGCCGGCGCAAAACTCGACAATTCGGAGACTTAGCCCCTGGATGTGCATTCTCTTCTAGTTACCCCGCCCAAGAAAAAAAAGCACATGGGAACAATCAGGGACATCTACAAAACGGGGCGACCACGGGCTTGTCTCCAAACCAAAGGGTTCGACCTAGTTGTGTCCGTCTCAAAACAGGGTGTCCCATTCCAAAGATGGGTGGCAAACCCTGTACGTTGGAAACCCCATCTAAAACCAAAAGGGGGTCCAACAGGGGAGTCTCCCAAGAAAAACAAAGGCTTCAACCCATTTGGGTCTGTCTCACACTCCAAAAAAAGGTGGGGTCCTCTTCATTTCCATTTCAAAGCCAAGAAAAGGGGGAGGTCTCCCAACAAAAAAGCACAGGGACGTCTCCCCCCCAAAAACACAACAACAACGAACCCAGCCAATGGCCTTTTTCCCTTCCCTTCCCTCCCAAACCGCGGGAGGCGCGGGTCGGCGCGCGCCATGAGCAGCGGCTTCACCAGCTGCTCCGCGTCGTTGGCCAGCGCGAACGTCAGAGGCCGGCAGCCCATGTCGTCCTGGCGACAGCGGCGACAGCGAGCGCAAGGCAGCGGTCCAGAGAAGGGGACCCCAGCAACCTTTGTTTTTTGCGATTGTGGTGTCCGTGGTGTTGTTTCTCTTGCGAAGGGTGCCACCGAGGCTGTCTTCAACGTGAGAAACCTCAAAGGGACTTACCAAGGCTTGGGTCAGCTGCTACGCGAGCGCTTCGCAGCCGGTCATAGCTTCGGCGGATGCCGTGAGCCAAGCGAAGGCCTCGTTGGATTAGGCCCGTGAAAGCAAAGGAAGCCTCGTTGGAGACCCGAAGAGATCATGGCGCATGCCAACGCCGAGTTGTGAACGTGCAGGCTTCACTTGATGGTTTGATAGGCAGGGAATGAGACATGGATCCTTAATGGAATGACACCAGGAAAAAACAAATCTCTGATTTGGTGTCCTTCAAGTAAATCCCAAAAACCGGTTCATGCCTAAAACCCGGACTCGTTGTCAAATGAATGTTGGCTGAAAGTTTGAGCAGATGGCTATTTGTTTGAGGTTTGGTAGACAGCCAAACCTAAGACACTGCCCGGAAGAACATCTACTTCCCTCGTGTTGGGAAGTAGTTTGGAGTTAATCTTTCAGCTTGTGAAGAAAGCTTGTTTCATCCCTTCTTAGTAACGAAGGCGTTGTGAGCATGAAGGAAGTGAGTTGAACAGGTTTGCCTTTTCAAATTATAAGCCGTTTGGCCTGTCGTTTGCCATGAGCAAAAAAACGGGAAACACATGCTCTCCTGAGCAGTTTGTTTCACAAACATAGCTCTTTGGATGGTTTGCCAGAAGTCCTTAACTGTTGGAATGATCCACGGCGGCTAATTGCAGACGTGCTTGTCCTATGATCATGGCGAATGATAAAATTTGGATCTATACTGGCCCTCAACTCCATTCTGATCAGAAATTGAGAATGGGCTGGTGCCCCCTGTGAAATCGAAGCAGGGAACTTTTTTGGGGGGTTGACTCCATGTATAGTGGGAAGAATGGATGTCGGATGTCTTTTTGTGGGTTGACTCCATTTTTCCTAGGGAAACCACCAGCCTGAAGTGGAACTCTTCAAGCACTTCCACCAGAAGGAACCTCACTCGGCCCCTTTTGCCGCGTGGACCAACCCAAAATCTTTGTTGCTGGCTGGTGACCCCTGCCTCTGCAAAAGTTTAACTTTTGTGGGTGTAGTGGAAGAACCCCTTGATTTCCCAAAAAGTTCAAGTCTAAAGATCCAACCCAATAGCAGTCAAGAAATGGGCAGATATAGGGAGACTCCTTCGGCTGGAGCGTGAATTCGCGTGCCTCCGCGTTGGGATCCGCCTGCATTTTCAGCAGCTCCCGGCAGGAGGTCAGATTCCCAAAGCGGCAGCTCAGCATCAGAGGCGTCAGATTCCCGTCCTAGGGAATCGACGAATCGACGTCTGGGGCACTTGATAAAAGGCGCCCAAAAAGAATCCATCGGTTCTCAAAATCGCCACTCAAGCGGTTGGTGGACTTGCCAAAAGGCACACATGCAGCAGTTGATAGCGTTTCTCAACCTAGGGTTTGGTGCCCCAAAACGGGCCGTTTCCTTTTGGCTGACCTTAACACCACCCCTTTGGGTCCCTTTGAGAGCCCCCCAACTGCATGGCAGCTGGGCGAAAACCTTGATACCCCCCGGGTGCGCCTTGGCGCGGCAGTCCACCTGGGCCCCAGCGTCCAGCAGGAGGTGGATGATGTCCTGCGCTTCGACCGCAGCCCGACGGCGACCGCGACACCGAGCCGAGCTGTGCACAGGAGGCTGTAACCCAAAAGGCCCGAAGAAACGGCTTTGATCCTTCAGCCACGGGATGACATATGCCAAATACGGACGACCCGAGGCCAAGAAAATAAAGAGGATGTTTCCGCGCAGGAAACCGCACAGCAGACCCTATGGCAAGGTCAGTATGCAAGGCACTCCGACTACTTTGCTGATTGCTTGGCTAATCAAACACGATCGCACCATTCTCAATAGTCACCATTCGAAACAAGCCCTGTTGGATACAGCATGCTCCGAAACGTCCCATCAAGCAATGCCATTGTTCTAGGGGTACCTTCCCCATTCTTTCCAGGGATCCTTCTTTTCAGGAAACCATCAAAAACCCAGGGGGAACAGCCGGTTCTGGAAAAGTACGATAGTTGAACAAAATGGGGCACTAACCCCTAGGATCGTGCTTACTTGCTTAAGAGTGTAGCTAGCAGTCAGAGCTAAAAAAAACCACTCCACAACCTAACGCTTGCACACCTCTACCCGACCGCCGACCCGCCCGCGTACACAATCACACACCAACAACCCGCACACTTGCAAACAAGCATCATTGTGGCACACACACACACACACACCCACCCACGCACGCACGCACGCCCGCACGCACGCACACGCACGCCCGCCCGCACGCCCGCCAGCCCGCCCGCCCGCACGCGCGCACGCGCGCATGCACGCACCCGCACCCGCACCCGCACCCGCACCCGCACCTGCACCCGCACCCGCACCCGCACCCGCACACCCACACACACACACACACACCCACACCCACACGCACACGCACACGCACACGCACACGCAGACGCACACCCAGCCACCCACCCACACACACACACACACCCCCACCACCCACCCACCCACCCACCACCCACCCACACACACACACACACACCACCCACCCACCCAGCCACCCACGCACGCACGCACGCACTCACACGCGCACGCGCGCGTGCACGCACGCACGCACGCACGCCCGCGCCCGCGCGCCCGCGCGCACGCGCACGGGCACGCACGCACGCGCACGGACGCACCCACCACCCACCCACCCACGCACACACACACGCACGCACGCACACACGCACCCACACACACACACACACACACACACACACACACACACACACACACACACACACACACACACACACACACACACACACGCGCGCGCGCGCGCGCGCAGCGTCACATGGCAACATGCAGCACCTTGCAATCCTTCTTCAACAAAGCTTAACACATGTCCAGCACTGTTTGCTCTCACATTTTCCCTTGTCCTCGCTGAAGGAGAAGGCAGCCCACATGTGCATCGGCTGAAGCATGGAGCCCAGGAACAGGTCCTAGTAGCAACTCGTGACCCGAATGGTACGATAAATGGGAACTCCACCCAAGTGGTTATGATTTTCAATAGGAACCCGCTCAAAATCCAACCTAAATGCTGCTCACAGGGTCCTCAACTAAGATTCATACCCAAGTGGAACAGCATGCTACACGAGTCCTTGTCTGCTTGCTGGGTTTGTGCGTCAACCTCTTCGCAGATTCCCAGCAGTCGTGTTACCGACTCCACGTCACTGCGTGCGGCGGCATAGTGGAGCTGTGTCCAGCCGGAGTAAATGATGCATTTATCCTTGGCTGAAGCGTGAGAAATCGGAAACACGCCAACGTATTCGCACCGAAAGCATGCAAACACAACAACGTTTCTATATTTCAAATAGATATAAACCAAGCCGCTCTGCCAAGCTCATGCGTTCTTTTTGTTTGTAACAAAACCCCAGAAAACAAAACAAGAAAAATACAAACACCTGACCGCCCCGACGCCGCGTTGGCCATAGGTGTCCTTTTGGAAACAAAACGATGGCCCTGGTAGATGATTGAACCACCAGGGCCATACCAGGGTTCGATTTGTTTAGGCAAACCAACCAAAAAGGACGCCTATGGCGTGTTCGTTTTTGGTGTCCGAGGTGCCCTGGAGGCCATGTAGGCCAGGGACCCGGTCCGACTGAGGCGCTTGAAGAGCGTCAAGTGCTCCGCGCGGCGCGTCAGCAGTGAGCGGAGGCACTCGAGCATCTGCAGGCGGTGCACCTCCCCCTGGGACCGAAGACGCTGCACCTGGAGAGGGACTCGCTCGAAATGGACTCGAGTGAGTTCTAGGGGGATATGAGTTGGTGAGGGGCTCAGTCTCTGCGATTAGTGTCCGATCCGGTGGATGAGCTGGTGCGGGTCTCAGTCTCTCCGATTTGTTTGGGGGAGTCCAACATAAATGGCTCAAGCTTTTTGGGGGGAGTTGCCCAAATAAATGGGGAAGAGGAACTCGTAAGGAGACTGAAACAAGTTGCCTGAAAGTGAGTAATCAGATATACTCAGCCAATACAGGTCCCATCGATCCGAACATGTCCCAGGATTGGGCCATTGGCCCATTTAGCAGCGGATTCCTCAGATGGCCTAGGTTCTGAGAAGCGGGCGGGGTTCCGATCGCTTGCAAAGCAACTTCAGGGGGGGAAAGGGGGGGGTCCCTGGGTCAAGGTCCATTCTTGGAGTCCGAGGTAGAGAAACAGGGGAACCGTTCTTTCTTTGTGACTCCCGACCTGTCTCCAAATAGTCAAAAAGCGAACACAGAGGTCAAACAACTGGTTTGTGGTTCAAATGCAAACAATCACCCGCACCATTTTTTGGAGGGAAGTTGGGGCTGAAAAAAAATAACTGACCTTCTGGAATTGCAGAGCTCACCTCCCAAATTATGTTTTTTGAAAAAAAACAAAAACACATAAAAACAAAAAAAGGAAAGGCGAGAGAAGATGTAACGTCTGGAATCTTGTTCTGAACTAGACCGTCAGGAAATGGGACGTGTTTTGATTTCACTGTTGGAATAGGTCTGCGACCTCTCTTGATTGAATGCACGAAAGCACCAGCCAACGCTCAGAAGATTTTCTGGACAAAAACATTCAATCCCAAATGGCAAACGGCATATACTCCATTTTCCGGAAGTAATTAGTTTGGGATAGCGGTTTGGCAGAAACCCGTGTTGGAGCTTGTTGCCGATGCTACCCCGGAAAACATTTGCCCCCTGGTTCCCACACGTATCGACTCTTTGCGCTTTTGAATCATCCAGTTATCCAAAGCATCCAAACACTCATGCGAGTCGTGCCTCCGGCGCAAGCTGATGCAGATGCCAAGCACATGGATTTAGATATGCAGGAATAAATTAAAATTAGACCGAGCTTCCGGAGCCACCCAGCCCCGCCCACCCACCACACCCACCACACACACACACACCACACACACCACACCCACACTCCAGCCGCCTGCGCGTTGATGACTTGGTCCAGCGCATCCGAGATGTGGAGCTTGTCCTCCTCCCGCGTAAACTTTGCCAAGCAGGGAGCGAAGTGCAGGAAAATCCGCGCAGAGACCTTCTTCCTCAGCAGTGGCAACAACATTAATGGCTGTGGCTCAAAAAACCTAAATTCCAAAATGGCTTGCCCTGGTAAGTGGAAACATGGACCAAACCCTGCGTAACGTGTATCCTTTTTCTGCCGTCTTTTTTAGGGGAACCCTCCCCCCAAACAGGGTGAGCAAGGGCACCTAGAGCAAACCCACCCACCCAGCCGCCGAGAAAAAACTGCCCACCGCCGCGCCGGGCCGCACGGAGCCCAGGCCCTGCACCAGAATCACCGGCTTCGCTCCCATCAGCACATTCACCTCGACTCGACTCGACGCGCGCGCGAAAGCGGCGACTGCTTCCCGCGGGCCATTTGGCTTTTGGCGGGTCCATGGGCGGGTATAACGCCCGAGGGAAACAATATGAACCACTGGTTTTTCCAGTGGTGAAATCGATGCTCTAAAACAAACACGAAATGTGAAGGAGTCATTTCAGCAATTGGAAGGCTTGATGCGCTAGCATGTCCTTACGGACCTCCTGGTAGCTCCGAAAGGCTCGGCTGGTTTAGAAGCAGACTTTGGATACCCGCAGCTCCTAGGCTCTATTTGAACCCCACAAGGCAAACAGAAACACTCATGGAACTCGGTTGCGAAATCTGCTCCCCTGCGAAAAGTGACCAACAACCATAGTGGTTTAATACGGAAAACCCATTAGTTGGCAAAAAGTTGAAGTCCTAGCATCCAAGCAAGATGCCCCAAATGGAAGTCGCCGTTGCCATGGAAAAGGTACACATGGCATGGATTCCAATCAAAAGAGCATCAATCGCCCGACGCAAACGCGAGGAACTCTGCCATCGCAAGGCTTGTCGTACCCCGGAAGCCGAGAATCAACCGGGTTCCAGCAGAAAGGTCGCTTTCAACAGGAAGCAAGGAGATACCAACTTAACCACTCTGGAGATTCCCAATCTTGATATGAACCTCAAACGCATGGGCTTTGCTTTCAAGACATCCAAACATGCAGGCGATCTGTCGGAAATCCTTGTGCAAAATCCGAAACCTTGACCAAATATCGCGATCTTGTGTCTTAGGTCCCTCAAGGCCGGCAAATGCAAAGGCTAAGATCACATGGAGATGAGCCTTCGAAAAAATAGCACTATGTGAAATGGAGTCTGGTTTCCTTGTGGCTCTCTTAAGCAGAAAAGAAGCAAACACAACCAACCTGGGCACCTTACTCCAAGACTGGTAATGAGATCCTCCTGGTATAGGAGCTTCAATAGGTGTCCCTGTTCAAACAAATATATGGCCCTGCGAGATGATCAAACCACCAGGCCAACCAGGGCCCTCAATTTTTAAACCAAACCAAGCATCAAGGACACCTATAGTGGACCTTCATACTGGGTGGGCTCCGGGGAAAGAAACAAAACACCAAACAAAAAGAACAAAAACAAGAACCACAAAACACACACACACACACAACAAAAAACAAGAACCACAAAACCACACAAAACAACCAAACATCCGCCTCGGCCTGGCGTCGCGGCTTCGAGACCTTTCGCCCAAGCCGCCGTGAGCTCAAATTGGCACCATCCGCGGGACTTCCAGGAGCTGAAGTCCATGAGGCGCCCCATCTCCTGGGGATTTGTTCCGCCCCCAAAACTCCCGGGCCTCCGAGCAGAGGTGTCCTTTCTGGTGGGAAAATCGATGGATTTCCCGGGTAGTTGATTGAACCAGGTACACCAGGGATGGCCCAGCCTATTTTTCAAAATCAACCAAAAAGGACACCTATGCCTCCAAGGGCAAGGGGCGGCTTTCGTTGACGTTGGGATGCCTGGAAGGCTACGGGCTGGGTCCGAGTTGGTCCACCTTCCGGGCTGCCATGACAAAGAGTGGCCAAAACTCGGAAACCTAAGAGATGCTACGTCAGGTCTATTCTCTTGAGTCCAAATTGTTGGTGGCTGACAATAAAATAAATGCCTATTGAGCGGTCTGTGCCTCGTCTGTAAAGCGCTGATGTTGAGACGAAACTCATGTCACTCTTGCACCCACACAGTTGAAGAACAACGATGCAGAACTGTGAGACATAGCCCAACATTGATAGGGAATCTACGCAAAACCCACATCCAACTTGCGAAACCGACAGGATATTTTCCCAGATTCAATACCCCAGAAATACTATCCCTGGCTCACGTGTATGATGTCCTTATAACATGCCGACGTGAGCAGTGGAAGGTGTCTGAGGATGTTTGTTTCCATGCACAACCTCCATGTTCGATGATATGAGCCACTATTTCCAAACAGCCTTTGCAAACTTAGGGCGCAGGGCTGTCGTTCCCCAAACGAATCTAAGACCCCTTCCAAGCCCAGTTTTCGGGAGCCTTGCGTGCATCTGTGAGGTCGCTCCCAAAGATCGCTCGAACAAACCCAATTCCAACTCTAAGCTGGACACTACTCCCAAACCATTCCCCGCCCCCCCGGCTTTCATAAAGTCAACATACCCGTTCTTGCCGCGAACTTTGGACTCAAACGGTGTGGGAACTGTCTTCTAAAGAAATCGCCAAGTCTCATGGTGCTGCACCGGAGCTAGGATGAAAAAGAAGGAGCTGTGGGCCACGTAGGTGTGCAAACTTCTGATGGCATCTTTCAGGTCTTCCTGCTGACATGCCACCTCCTCTGGCGTGCGGCAAGCACCCTCCTGCGGATCGGCGCTCTTTGGGATCAGAACGTTTGCTGTGGGAGGAACGCCGTCACTTGGAAAACCAACCCAACATCAAAAGCAAGCGCTTTGCAACTTACATGGTCTCTGCCAAACTGCGGGGAGTAGGTATATCAAGCTACTTGAAGATATGTCAAATTTGTACGCGGCATGCTCCTGCGGGATGCTGAAGAAGTCAATCCATAGCCAGCCTGGCAGGAGCAAACCCGGACAACGGCTCGGGCATGGTTTCCTACGAGTAGGAATTATATGATTCCATTCCTAGAGGGCAACATGTATTGGAACAAGGCTCAAATATGTTTTAGGGTAGCACCGCAGGCTTTGGCAAACACATCCTCCCCCTCAAAGAATGCGTCCTGTGATCAATGTACGCATACTCTGTCGGATAATGTCCCTCTTGACAGAAACTTGTGGACGAATCCTGCCAGGCCGACCGTCTAACTTTTGCAAACCACGTGTCTCATCCCCAGCGGCAGAGAGCCGCGAGAGAACTTTGCAACTCGCATCCGATCTGCTGAGGTAGGACTTCTGGATGGTGTTTGTTGATCACTCCCCTGGATTTCGAAGAGTGAGCCAAGAACCAAGCAAAACACAAGGCGATGAGTTTGCGCTGGGGACATGGTGCACATCATTTACCATGGGGCACTCTGTACAGCAGTCCTTTCGGAGGGTGTTTCCCATCCAATTTCACAGAACAACACGTGAAATCCACAGCATGTCCCCAGCACCCCACCCGCCATTAGGGTCTTCTCTTTTCGCTTCTCTGTCAGGCCAAGTGACGGAGTGAGCCCCCCACGTCCCGCCGCCCCAAGAGGACCATAGACCACCGTTGCTCAAAAACATCACATGGGTATGGGTCAAAATTAAACCACCGGGGGACCGCAGGTTTTAGAATTTTTTTGTTGTTTAACTAGGATTCCATTTTGGGTATTTTTTTTTGACCCACAGCCAGATGGAACCCACTTGGCTCTGTCCCCCAAATGGCAGCTCTTGCATCCAGCTCGACCTTTGAGGGGGGACTGCAACTTCTAGGGTCTCGGACAAAGACGGTGAGCTTCCAATTGCTTAAGCCGCCTGGACAAACAACAAATCCAGTAGTGATAGGAAATGGGCAACTCCTTTTGGACAGCCTCAGTGATGCCCAACGCGCAACGAATCCTGGCCAGAAGCCAGATCAAAGACCTCTCACAGCCAGACGTTTGCGAGGAAACGAAAAGAACTCAATACCCATGGGCCACATCACGTCCTAACCCCAACATTGCATCTTTCCTTCGGGGCCGTGCAACGAAAATGCGAGTCCTTCTTTGTGGTTGCCATGTTAAAAGCCACAAAAACGGGGTACGGTACGCTCCCACCAACTAACATGGTTTGGTGCACAGACCCCTCTAGAACGACTACTTTCCTCTTGCAAAGGGGGCCTTTTTGCACAAACCCATGTTAGTTGGTGGAAGGATATCCAAAAAACCCACAGAGCCTCAAATGGACCCATTGGTTGCCATTTTTAAGCCACAAAAACAGGGGCACCCTTCAAAAAAAGACAGACCCAAATGGACCCAGATGCACCCAAATGGCCTTTCCCCCGACAGCCCCTGGATCGCCACACCTTTGGTGAGCTCGTGGAGGTCTTTGTAGGACAAGGTCTTGTGGTACTGCCGCATCAAGGCTACCGGGTCCTCACTTGCATTCAAACCCTGGCGCAATCCCAGGGTGATCACCTGTTGGAACCTCTCAAACTAGATGGGAACATCCAAAACCTGGTTTACATGAGGGAATGAAATCAGGGAATGAACTCTTTCTGGGTGAAATAGAAATAATAATAATAATGCTTCACCAACCTGAAATCAGGTGGTTGGGGGGCCCATTCCCCACATAGACCACCATTTGGGGGTGAATTCGGTAGTGTGAGGTCGAAACAAAATCACCAGGACCTCTTGGAACCTCTCAAACTAGACCAGACCTCTTGGAACATTTCAAACCTGCGTTAACTCAAGGGTTCACCTTTTGCAACCTCCAAGAATACTTGCTGGCGCTCAGCAGGAAATGAGGGAATGAACCCAGGGATTGGTCCAAGCACAAGGGATGGGTTATATCATCCCCTCCTTCCCTACTGAGCACCAGCAAGAATGGACCAAGCTTATAGGCCGTGCTACAGGTTTGGGGTGGAGGTATACGACCTCAGAACAGAAACACAAGTCATTGGTTCCAGACGAACCAAAGTTTTGAGACAAAGCGTCGTAGGCGAACTTGTGGGAGTGGCTCCGGAAGCCCCACAACGTCTTCTTCAGGGCCAGCAGCTGCTTGCGCCTCAGGTTCCCTAACCTGTGAGAGTGATTGGTACACATAGGCTAGGTCCTCCAGTAGAGAGGGTAGAATAAGGGTACCCTTTTTTCTGTAGTCCATTTTGGTAGGGGAACCCTCCCCCAAGAAAGGGTAAAAGGGCACTACTTGGGGGACCTAGTAGGGCTACCTAAAAACAAATTCCGTGCCCCACTTTTTAGAGGGTTCCCCGGTTCCCCCACAGAAACTCATGAACGTGTAACACCCACCCGAACCACATCAAGAACCTGCGCTGCAACTCCTTTGCTCAAACCACAAAAGGTTCCGAAGCCCGCAACATCGCCGCTGAGCTATAGCTGTTTGCCCCCCCCCCCCCCCTCCCAGCAACAACAGGAAAGGAGAAGGAACCTTCTTACAAGTTCCTACAAGGCTTCTGACAGCTTTTCCGGGAGGAAGTGAGGAAGGCTGCGTTGTCTTGGTGATAGCCTCTAAGTCAGTCAGGAACCGCGTGCACTAAAAGTTTGTGTCATTTTGAGTGCCATTGAGTGCGCTCAAAGAGCTGTGTGACCACTTCTCCAAACTGATGGGCAGGTCCGCATGGCTCTCCTGATTTCTAAATGGGTGTGGATGTTGAATCGGTGTTTAGCCCTTAGAAGCCCAACAATCTTCCTTCCCCGGAGGGCTTCTTGGGAGATTGTTGCAAGTGTTTGACTTATTTGGGTGTGTCTTTGTACTAAGGATACCCTTGTTGGCTGGTGTGAAATGAATCGTGCCTGCCAATATGTTTCTCGCCCGCCATTTTCGTTTGGGGGACCCCCTTCCAACACGCTCCCAAGACCATTTTTTTGCTTTTTTTTTTGGGGGGGGGGTCGCTTTTTTGTTGAGGGGGGAGGGGCGGGGGCGTGTCTGATCTCCGCTTAAGCGTCCCCGGGTCGGGATGTGATAGCCCGGACCACTCGTGCGAGATGAAGGTCACGGGCCCCATGGAGTGCTCGAAGATCCGCACCAACTTCTCTTCCTTCAACTCCTGGTGCGGCCTGGGGATCTGGGGATCTGGCCGCTGATCCCAGGTTTGCTTGAAGGGGACTCCTGGGTTCCTTCCCACAATTCCCTGGGCCCTACTGAGCGCCAGCAAGTTTGTTGCCAAGCAAAGGGCAAACAGCAATTAGTGCCTGATGAAGGATCAATTGTCACCCCATTTGATTCCTTGGCTTCTTTGGAAGCCAAACGGAGGGACCAAGAATCGCAAGCATGCCATGTCGCCCGGTGTTGGCAACCGCATGCGAGCAACCTGAAGAACTCCAGCCTCATCTCGTCCAGTTCGAGGAAGTCCTCGACACTGATCACGTACATGGGAAAATCCTTGGGCAGGTTGAGGCTCTCTTTTCTGCCCGCACGATACTGATTCTCGACATCCTCGACATCCAGATCCTCGTGCGGCTCGTATCTTTTCCTGCAGCACCTAAAGGCCATGGGGCCTGCTGTCCTTAGCCCCGAGATCCATTCGATTGCCAAGGTAGACTTAAACCCAGGGTTGATTGATTTCCCATAGGGTTCAAGACGACCTTGGAGAAATCGAACAAGGGAACTTTGCACCAGCCTACCATGATCGCAGCACTTCGCGAGACATACTCACCAAACCTTCCCTCACGCATTCTCCGCCCTCCCAATAGCCTCAAAGTAATCCGCCAAGAAGCTGACGCAAGCTGTCTGTCCATTGGCACGACACCAAGCGGGGCGCCCGGACTCTGACGGATAAAAGGATCCACCCAAACAAGCCACACCTCTTTGCTGTGCTGGTTGCGGCACGTTTCTCTGGCTGAGAGTAAGATGAATCAAAGACCGTTTTGAGCTATGGGATGGACGAACAGCTGGAGCGTCTGCTCAACTGATTGCAACAAGGGCACTGCTCTGAAACCAACTCAGGCGATCTCAAGCGTGCTTGCTCGATTGTAAATAATGCTCGCCCCCAAACAAGTCCAAACTGCTCATTCACCACTAAACAATTCTTCCAGGAACTCAGGGGCTGAGAATGCGTATGTGTTTCTCTCTATGCTTGGGCCACACAAAAAGTCATAGCATGGAGTTGACTCATCGCCAATGGGTGTCACAGCCTATGCGGCTGTGAACTGTTCTCTACCTGTGGGTCACATAGGGGGGCCTCCAAACTCGTGGTGTCCGTCTGGTTTACCTTCAAGCCGCCCCCCAAAACGGCACCCTGAAATCAACACACGTGTTGGCTTGCCACTCTCAGCATCACTCCCTTGGCTGTGACCCAAAGAAAGACCGGGCTCATTCTTTTGACGGCTTCCGGGGGTTGTCAAAGTCAGGAAATGGAATTTGTTTCCCTTTAACCCACGACTTCGGGGGTGACTTTGATCATAATGGTAGCATAATGAGACCAGAAAGATAAAAAAACAAAAAAAAACTAAGGGTAACCTTTTTTCTGTAGTCTATTTTAGAAGGGGAACCCTCCAAACCAAAAAAGGGGTTAATAAGGGCACCTAGCTGGGGGACCTAGTAAAACTCCATCTGCCACCTGGGCGTGGCAGAACATGCGCCGATTTTTCCTTTTTCCTTCAGCTTTCGTCGCCAAAGCCCAGCTGCCACACCTCAGAAAACTGCGTAAAGCGCGGCTCAACATGTCTGGTTGAGACGTGTTTTGCCTCGGACGTTGCAAATATGACGCGTGTGAGTCTGGTGCATCTTTGGTGATAACGAAGACACAATTCGGAAGAAGAAGAAAAAGAGCATCATTGAGGTCAAACAAACCCCTATTTGTCTGCCTTCGTCCTTGCAGAAAAGGCAACCAGGGAACGCTGAGTTTCGGCGGTTCTTTTCGGGGGTGCAATTGTTGCTGCGCATGCAAGCTTGGCATTTGGGAACCAGCTATGGGCTATGTTGCAGATCTTGTCCTGCGACGTAACTTCTGAAGGTGTTCCTGTACCCCAACCCTGCGATGTTGGCGGCCATTGGGAGAAATCAGGCGAGATGGAGTGCCACGTCTTTGCTTTCTGACCTATGAGAGCCGGCTTTCACAGCTACCCTCTCATGGAGTATCATATATCAGCTTCTCAGTTTCTTATTGCCCTCAAAAATGGCATGCATCTGGGTCCTTTCAGAAAATCACAGGGCTGTCCTAAGTGCACCATGTTTAGTGGGTTGAATGGAAAATCCTACACCCCAAAAAACTAAAACCTGAGGGGATGGCTGGGCCACCAAGATAAAAGGTAGCCCTCCAAAAACAACGGCCTGCATGGGTGGGGTTGAGTCCGACTTGAGTCGACCAAATCCGAAGAGCGCTTTGGGCGTGCCCGGCCCTGAGGGAGTTGTCCAACCGCGCGACTTTGCGGCGCTCCGGCTCTGGGCTGTCCACCTCGGATACTGAACTGAGTCACAACCAAAACCGATCGGTACAAAATGGTGAACCCAGAACCATGTAAAGAATTAGAAAGGCGGCCGCAACTATTTCCGGCTGGGACTGCCCCTAACCTTCATCTACCCGGGTTTTGATTGTTTCTCAACTGGGCTCCATAGGTACGTCTTATTTAGGGGAGCCCTTTGTCGGTTGCTTTAAACGGACACCACAAGCAGTTCTTTCTCTTTAGGTGCATTCCAGGAGCCGTCCCCGTACGCCGTGTTTTTTCTTCCCCAACTCACATGTTTGATCCAAAATGCAAAGAGGAAACCAACCATTTCAGGCGGTTGCTTCCCTCCCAGCCGCCCAGCCGGAGGGGTTCATCTTGTTGGCTCATGTGCAGCACGCTACTTCGGGGCTTAGGCAGTGGGAAGAGGCACCATGCGATACAAAAGCCAATTCTCAGCCACCCCCCATGCAGAAGTACCCTCTCGCCATGTAACCCATGTACAGGCCAATGCAAGGAAAGTCTTGTGGTTTTGTTGTCGCGGTCGAAATGTTAAGGCCCATCTCCTGTGAGAGCTCATCAGCACTGGGCCGAATCAGTGAAACCAGCAACATTTGCGCCGAGGGCATATACGTGGCAATACTGGTGCCTCTCACTTGTTTCAAGTTCTGAAAGCTGCCCAGTCCTGGAAAAATAACACACACACACACACACACACCAACAAGCTGTCTCTTTTGTGACCCCCAATCTGTGCAGCCAAGGCGGCATCGTAATCCGGAAAATGCCGGGATCCCGATGAGCTGGCAGTGAGTCGCGGATCGATTGCGCAGCTGTCCAAGGCCCCATCTTTCCAAAACAAAAATCATTCTGGCAACTGAGCATACCCTAGCTCGGGGAAGCACCCAGGATTTGTTTGGAACAGTTCACGCTGAATAGCTATTGAGTCGACATGTCAAAGGACAAGTGTTGAGAAGGGCTATCAAGTGGAATGTAGCTCCTGCTTCAGAACAGGTCCGGGACTACTAACATCGTAGAGAAAGCAAAGGGGTTCTCCACTACATTATAAAGACACCCAACAAACGCTAAGACCGGCCCACCAAAAGCTTCGCCACGTTGATTCCCCATGGCATAGCAGCCAATCCTAGCTTGGGCTTACAGGAATTTAGGACGACTTCTGTCTTGTCACAAGCTGGGTTGCTCAAAACGGGGGATCCGGATTCTTCGTTTTCCATAAACCGGGATTGAGGATTCAGCTTGAACAACCCAAACAACGTAGGTACCTCTTCTCATGCCATGAATGGCCAGCGTGCTCGTTTGCAACTCCTGAAACAGAGGTACTAGTACCATGGAGTGCTTGAATCACTCCATGCTGCAAGAAAAGCTTCGCATGCTTCCCCAGGGCTCCGTTTCTTTGCTCCTGCAGGCAGCTTGACTCATTCTTGCGGCGTCAAACTTGATGGGAAACCTGGAATTCAACAAGTGTTTCCGTGACTCTTCGGGGAGGGACCCCGGCTTCAGTTGGCTTGAAAGGCAAACCGAAAGGACAACAAGCCCGGTCTTGGTGAACATCAACCATGCGTTTGCTGAGTATCCACCAAGCAGTTTTGAGGCTACATCATAGCCGGTACCTCGGCAAACCAACATCTTGCTGTGTGGCATGGCCGTGGTTTCAACTGGGGTACAACTGAGCGAAAAACCTGCACAAACAACCAATGCATACATTTTCAGGTAGCTGATTTGAGCCGTGAAACTATCATGGAACCTGAAAACCCCTCTTGTTATTGTTTCATGTGGGGACCATGTTTGAGGCTACTCATTTTAACACACCTCTCCTGGCCCGCAGAGTGAAACAGGCACCCCTCGGGCCCTTTATGGAGGGCCCTTATTGAGGTTCCGTGCTTTCGAGGGAGCAATTGATTCTGCCTGCTTGCGGTTTCTGCTCGCCCGCCTGAGCAGCACACGCTCCTTTGCCTCCGTAGGTCTAAGCCTTGAGAGAGGTCCGGCCGCAACCGCGCGCTTGTCAAAGATTCTAGGGAGCATTTGGGTCTGTTTTTCTTTAAACAAATGTAATTTATGGTATGAGTACCCTCTTTTGGGGGTGGGTTTCCAGGAAAACAAGACCACCAATGTTGAGGGTCCCCTATTTTGAGACAATCCCATTGTGCCATGGCCACTGCTTCTGTGGGCCATGGTCGTTCGCTCAGGAACGCTTGTAGTCGTGCAAGTTCCCTCAGGGTTTCATCACTTGTGGCACTTTTGACTATGGCACACTTGCCTGCTTGCCAGCATCGCAGATTAAACAAAAATGAGAGGCGAGCTGTTACGTCACGCATTCCAAAACTACGGGGGTAAGGCTCAAAACACACACACCCCGCCCCCAAACATCCAGACTGCGCTTTTGCACAGGCCCCCTTCAGCTTCCATTTGCTGAAGCCACCCTGGAGAACAAAAAACCTTCCGGTGATAGATTCCTTTTAAACCCAAGGGAACATAAACCCCCCATTCCAGTCGGCAAATGGACGTGGCAGAGACTCGCCGAAGAAAACGGTTTTGGCGGCGAGAAATCTGCCAGAACGGGCGTGGATCCCAAGGACATGCAGCAAGCTCAAGCTCACACATGGCTGTGGTGGTCATTTGACCGTTTTGGTTGATCCCGTTTTGGCTGGAGTAGGTGAATTCACCGCCCATTTTAGGCTTCCTATGTTAGTGGTTGGATTGAATCGGAGGTTCACTGGGGGTACGATTTGGATTTTGACCCATGGCCACTGTCCGGGACAAAGTGGCGTGAATGGAGAGGTGAGCACACCCCCTTTGTTTTGAGAAGGACCCCATGTTTTAACGAGACTTCCCGGACACATCCCCCCTACACCTTATCAAATCAGCGGATAGGCGTGGGGGGGGGGAGAGGGGGGCCTTGTTTGTTCGTGTATGTTGTCCTTTTGTTGCGGGCAGGTATCCCAAGCTTTCCCATGCGAAGCGCAGAGCTTTTTGGCACCCCAGCTCGGCGGAGGTGCAGGGCCGGGAGTGGCCCTGAAAGCGGCCCACCTTGCGACCAATCGGAAGCGACCAATCCGACGCTACACGAGCACTGGGGGTTTCGAAACGCATGGTTTGGTCAAGGGTGTTCGAAACACAAATACAGTGTGTATTGAAAACGAAGAATGCTCCCGAACTTGGAGTAAATGTAAAGGATTGTCAGCTGGGCAGAACTCTCGAAATCAAAACTGAAGTGGGATAGGGGAAAGATTCGCCTGCAGGATCAGTTAACGACCAGCAACACTCACTACTTGCTGGGCACGGCTTACGGGCAGATTGCGAGAAGCGCTCTGACAACCTTGGTTGGAATTGCTTGCATCTGTAGTTCCACAGCGGGCAAGTCAAACTTCTACTACGTGTTGTCTTGAGGGACCCCCTTTTGGTTTGCATCTTGGGGGTTCCCCAAACCAAATCGCCTTCAGCGTCGTGTCGCTGCAACGCATGTCTTCCACACAGAGCGTTTTGCGGTGTTTGCTCCAGCTGAAGCATATCTCGGTTGCTTTCTGCTCCCCTGCTAAAAGTTTAACTTCTAGTGGTTTAGTGGAAAACCCATTAGTTGGCAAAAAGTTAAAGTCCTAACAGCCAAGCAACATGCACCAAAGATATTGTGGGTTGACGTATTTGCCCAGGTCCTGCTTTGAGCTCCTTTCTTCTGTTTCTCAACCCGTCTCTGATGCGGGCCTGTGGCTCGGGCGTGGAACCGCTATGGCGGAAAGAAGTCTACGCACCTTCAACAAGGTCTCAGGGATCCTTCTCTCCAAAAGAACCATGGGCCAACACCTGGGGTCGTTTCTAAAGAGAACGATGCGTGAAGAGAACGGGAAAGCAGCCTTTGGAAGTACTGTGCAAGCACATGTCATGAGGTTAGCAGCATGACTAACTCAGTTGTTCAGTGACCCTGGAGAAAAAAAAGGTAACCCTTTTTGGGGAAGACGTGTTTTTTTAGTGGGGGCAGCCACCAAAAAAAAGGGGAAAAATCATTGGTGCCACTGAAGAACTGAGCTGACCAGCGAGTCCAGCTTACGCTGACAAGCTCTGGCACCGGGTCCTTACGTCGAGCCTCTTGCATGGAGCTGAGCGAGTAGAGCCTTAGCGCAGACTGAACGCAGTCGCTTGGGTATGGGTCAACATGGGAAAATGTGGGGGGGAAAGGTGTTCGACCGCTTTCAAACCAACCACTTGTGCAAAAAACATCTACCCACTTTGCTTCTAGGAATCTCTCGGAATCTCCGGTCTCAGCTCACGCTCTCAAACAGCTCATCTAGTTGCATGCCTCTAGGATTCAACTCTGCGAACGCCAGCAAGAAACGCAATAAATGGTTCTAGGGTGCAGGGCTAAACCCAAAAAAACCAAGCCGCTTGGGGCTTTGCCTACCACGCACAAAGCAAGAGAATCTACCGCGGGTAATCCACATCCAACTCCAGTGGATCCAGGCTGATGCGCCGATGCCATCTGCAACCCATAGGCTGGTCATGTTGTGCGCTCATGTGGGTGTGGGTAAAAAATGGGTACCCCAACTGGAACCCCTAGTAAATGGAAACAAGGACTAACACCTGCTGGTGGTTTAAGTTTGACCCGTACCCACGTATTCCACTTGACATACGCGCAGCCAAATGCCTGGAACTCTTGCCTTCGCATCAACATCGACAGAGCGACACCCAGCGAAGCAAACGGGAGCGATGTCGAGCGCTCATCCGCCGCAGTCAATGTTTCTTGGGTCATGCTCATGGCTTGCTCTACTTTCTCTGCAACTTCTAGTCGTCCTTGCCATGCTTCTTCTTCTTCTTCTTCTTCTTCTTAGCGTTTCTACTCAGCGGATCATGATCATCCCCATTCCTACCGTGTATTTTTGTGCATAGCATTTTTTCGTCTGTTATATTTTGGGGGGTGGGGGGTGGTTTTAAGAGGACACCAAATGAACCCACCCATTATAGTCCCTCAATTCTGACATTTGTCCCGCGCAGCTGTGACATCGCTCCTGGGCCCAGGCAGAATGTTGCCAGAGTCGTCGCCTGTGGATAGCAGATCGTCCTGCAGACGAAACCTCCAACCCTCCAACAGAATGGTGTCTATGTTTTGGGGACCCCCAAAATCTTGGGTGTGCCTTTCCGTTTTTCCTTTTAAAATAACGCCAAACAAGAACCGCCCTCAAAGACGAGCGGCCAACGAACATTTTTTTGTCGGAAGCACTCTGGGCCGATGGAAATTCTCTCAGCTTGAGCTCCGCGGGGAAATTATTTTGCTCTCACCCAGAGATCTGGATGTCACCGCCTTCCGGCCGAAAGGGATCATAGCTTTGACCGTTTCTGCCTGGCTCCCATAGCAATACCGAAAGAGGCTAAGCTTTTGGCTATAAGAATGAACCAACAAAAAGGGGAAACCAGAAGGTCAAACGGTCGGCTTTGGGGCAAGTGAGAACTTGTTCTACACTAGGTCCTCCAGTGGAGAGCTTAGAAAAAGTTGGTACCCACATTTTTCTGTGGTCTACTTTAGGGGCTTGCCCTCCCAACCAAAAAAGAAGCGGTAAAAGTTGGCACCTGGCTGGGGGGACCTTGGGACAACTTGGAACCCTTCTTGGAATCCCAGGCCCGAGCGCTCTCTGCCAGGTCCTGAACTCCGAAGTGAAAGCGCTGGTGCGTGTTCACCTCGGCCAGTCAAATGCCAGTCTTTTGGCTGGTGCGAGTAGGGAATGAGGGAATGAACCCAGGAATTGGTCCCCTTAAAGGGCTTTTTTCAGGGATGGCTTGTAGAGGTCACTCCCTCATTCCCTGCCTCTCGCACCAGCAAGTCTTTTGGCTTGTCCAATTTAAATGACCAATCCAATTGCCCACTGACCCCAGGCGGGGAAAACAAAAACAAACACGTTCTTTGGGTTGACCATTTGTAGTGGCCAATCCGCCATACAAAAAGGGATTTACGGGGAGCCACTGTACAACTGGGCCAATGCTTTGGAATGCCAGTGGTGCCGGTAAGGATTTCTTGAAGAGTGCCATTCCATATCCATTCCTGATGCAACGCTGCAAAGAAATGGCATGAAGTGCCGGCACCTGCAACACACCCTCGCCGTATGCAAAACACGCGGAGTTGTGCAGCAACACTCAGTGCTTGCAAAAGCACATCGCAAACACGATCTTTCCCTCTTACAACCGTATGGGCGGGCTTCCCCGGATTCCTACGGCTTTTCACGTGTTGACTATGGGTTAGAGACCAGTGTTTTTCTCGAGGGCATTGTATGCTTTATGAATGCTTTATTTTTAAACCATACCTGTAACTTAGCCGGTGCCGAGGCTGTAAACAAGTTATTGAGGTACTCGCGCAGGAACTAGCACATTTGTATTTTACAACCTCTTGGATCCAGCTAACATATATATATAATATGCAATCAGCACGTGCTAGATTGGCGCTGGCTCGCTAGAGGGGCCTACACCCAACAGAATATCAGCAGTGTTGACGCAAAATCACATCTGCAACCAACCCAACGCGCAAAGGCAAATGGGTGTTTCTCAAAATGGTGGACTCCCTTTTGGTTGGTATTTTTAAAGGGAAGCAAGAGGACATCATCACCATTTTGGGAGACTACTACTTTGAGACCCCCCCCCCTCCTGGCAGTGGGACGCAGTTGGGCTCCACACGCTGCGTGGCAGCTCCTGCAGAAGAGCCTTCGCACGCGAAGGCCTTTGTCGCCTCAAACAACCTAAGTGGCTTCTAAGAGCCTCTACTAACATGATTGAACAACTCAAATGCCTCAGGTACATCCGATTCCGATTCTTCCAAATACAGGCCGAAATATCATATCTGCCTGGTCAAGAAACAAAGGAGGCGATTGCGTCAATTGGCTTGGCTTCAAGTTGTGGAAGCTTCCGGGGTGGCATGAGAAAAATCGTAGTGCTGCCTCTCGAACTCTGGTCAGACACGTGCTGAATGGAAGCAAGTCTTGTCTTAGGAAGCAAGCCTTGTCTCAGCCACGGTTCTCCTGAAACGTCTCTTTTGCGGAGGGCACCAATACAGTTCGATGTGGTGAATGCGAATGTGAGCCGTGCAATGTACAACATAATGTTGATCCCATGCCCCTCCAAAAGCCATGAATCCCCACTAAACCCACAAAACCCCCCCCTTTTCATAAACTGGGGTTGATTAATGTGGGGTCAACAGTACTTAGCAGCCGGTATCAGAACGCTGGCCAGCTGATTCTGGCCAGCGATACGTCTGGATCAACAAACATATCCCCTATCCGCCTCGTTGCCTTGCTCGCCCAGCATGCGCAAGTCCCCTGGCCGCACCCGGAAGGAGGGACTCATGACATCTCGCGAAAGGGCACTCGAATCATCACCAAATGGCCATGGGTCAAAATCCCGCACTGGCAGTGAACATCCCAATCCCCTCTAAAATATACCAAAATGGGTGGTGCACCTACCCCAACAAAGTGGTACCAGTGGCTTTGCCCCACGGCCAAATCAATGACCCTAGCAGCAAATTCTCGTGGCTAAACTCCATTGGCAGAAAGTCCGCTAGCTCAGCTTGCATGCTCGGGGAAAACAAAAAAAACAACACCATGCAACATCAAATCCTTCATGTGACCCAAGCTGTCAAGCATTTCCCACACTCACGACCTTGAGTTGAAAGTGGCCGGTCTTGAAGTTGAGAGATGTTTTGTGATCAGAGACAGCCCAGTTGACCATGGTCTTTATCGCGAGCAGCATGACCACGGTTGCAACCAAAAACCTCACTGGTCCTGCTATCCGAAAAGAGGCTCGAATTCGGCACACCTTGCAACCTTGTCAGCCAAAGACCTATCTTCAAAAACAACGAAATGACGTCTGGGTGAAATGACAAGTGAGACACCCCCCAATTCTTGTTTGGCAGCCACATGAAAAGGCTATCTTGACAAATGGCCACCAGCCACCTTAGCTTCCTTTTTTTGCCTGGTTGTTCCCTGAAGGGTTGGCATGAAGGAAAATGGCCGGATGAACAAAGGAATCCTTTCAAACTCAGCTTCCAGATTGGTTCATCAACTTGCTGGTGCTCAGCAGGGAATGAGTTGGAATGAGCCCTCAAACACCCCGACTCCTAGGGTGTCCTTTAAGGAAATCCCAAACGGTTCATTTCCAACACCCAGAAGGGTCATTCCCCATCGCGCCAACCCATAGGGAACACCCCTGCTGGCTTGCTCGTCTGAGCGCCCAGCAAGCTCTCAGCCAGCTGTCCTTGCGATGGCCGCTCAGCAGCAGCCACTCGCTGCCAAACCTTGAGGTTTTCCGGCATGGCCCCCGCAAAAACATCGCCAACAAGGCCACTCTTCCTGACAACCCCAAATAGGGTTCAGGGGGGGGGTTAGGGGGTGGGGGCTTTGGATTGGCATGAATAACAAGGTGAAAGACACAGATCGCAAATGCAATGACTCTAGAACACAGATCTTCGTGTAAACAAAACATCTCATGCCCGCACGTCAAGCAGGTTGCAATCAATTGCCCGATATTGTCTTCAATTGCAAAAACACAACTCAATCCGTGCTGATTACACACATAATAACCTGTGGTGGATTTCAAGAAATGTGATGCATCACTGCCGGGCCGATAGCTGACAACTTCATCTCAGAACGGAGAAGCTAGCATGAGCAGCGCCCAAAACCCCTTGACTTTCGGCTCCACTATGGTGAAGGCTTGGTCCTTGCTATTGCCCTTGAACCAAGTAGAGCCACCTATTCAAATGGCCAAAGGTTTTGGGCGCTCACTTGTCTGCCCTTGCGACATCTTTTCGGCTTGAAAGTGGACGCCCCCAACTTTCTAGGCAGAGTATGGTTTCTCAAGAAGGCGGCCTGCTTTTGATGGCCAAGGGCACAACCCCCCCAGTTTTGAGGAGCCTTATTCTCAAAGACACCAAAAGGAGCTAGTGAGGGGCGTTCCGATTTCCATGGGGCCCGGGCTCGTGTCACCTACGCTTCTTACAATCTACCCAGAGCATGCGGGGGGTGGCATCTAAGC